TGACGTGTTCAATACTTATTTTACCCGCTGTATACTTGTTGCTGGAACAAGTACCAATTTATTAATTTCCATTCTTTCAGTCTCACCTCTTCCCTCTCACTGGATAACAGTTTTTTTTTTCCTTTCCCTGCCTAGGTGGACAATTCCTCTCTGACAGGAGAATCGGAGCCACAGACTCGCTCCCCGGAGTCAACGCACGACAATCCTCTGGAGACCCGCAACATCTGTTTCTTTTCCACCAACTGTGTCGAGGGTCAGTAGGCCAAATCTGGCCAAGATTGCCTCTTATCTCCACTGGAAGTCTGTCGTTTAGCCATCTGGAGCTAAACGTAGTTTTGATGTATCACCAATGAATGTGTTTCAGTGCTGCGATAATCTGGTCCACCATCCCTCCGTCCTTCATCATTCTGTGTAGACACTGATAATAAAAGACAAAAAGGAGATGTAATGAGTATTTCCATGCAGAACTGAGCCACTGGGACTACTGTATTAGATTACTGCTGCCTGTCAGTCATCAAAAAGCAATACAGTAATCATTGTGTTGGGATTTTTGTGCAGCAATCCGCATTTTTAATCATGGATGAAAGGRACGCTACTCGAACTGAGAGACCAAAGGTTTTGCACCAGAAACAGGTCCAGTGCTCTGGGTTARCACTAATTAATTTTATTCTCTTCTGGTTTTGTTGAAGAGCAGCTCAGTTGGTAGAGCTGTTGCCTCACAGCAAGAAGGTTGCCGGATTGAATCCCGGCCGAGGACCTTTCTTGTTTGCGTGTTCTCTCCGTGCACTSGTGGGTTTTCTCTGGGCACGCAAACCAAAAACCACGACCGATAGAATAATTGGTAACTCTAAATTGTTTTTTTTGGTGTGAGTGAGAGTAGCTGACACATTTTGAATTATTGCGTTAGAAAAGGTTGATGGAAACAGCAACATTCGAAAAAATGTCTTCAATTTCACAAAAAAAATGTTAATGCTCGTGTGAAAAGGTTTTTGGTTTTCCAAAAATGAGTTAATGAGCAAAAGGGTGGATGGAAACCCGTTTGTTGAGTGAGTTCTGATGTAGTGCACATTTGCCTCACATGATTGATCAGCTGTTCATGGAAATTCCCATAAAACGCAAAAACATGGCAGGAAGCAACAACAGATTTATGTAGAACACATACCTGAAAACCTCTCTCCGTTGTCAAAAAGGAAAAAAAAATCAGTCGGTCCTCTGGATGGGTTCTTCTTTAGTGAAACGTTTCATCTYTCCTCCAAGACACTTCTTCASTCTGAGGAGTTTCAGGTGAACTCAGCCTTATAAGCTCCGCCTCCACATGGACAAACAGGTTAGTCATATGCAAAAGAGGGCCATCGCCTAAGAATAGGCTTGATTAGCTCTATTGTTTATAGAGGGTCATGTGTCACATCAACTGACTTATTGGTTTGGATGCTGTGGTTCTTAGGTGTCGTGTTATGTGTTAGTGAATGCAGGCGGGGCTCAAAGTCCCCTTGTTTTTGTCTCTTTCCCTCTTTGTGTTGGGTATCGTTGGGGCCCTGATTTACACCTTTTGCTCACAGGGGGCGGAGTCATACTTGCAATAACAGCGTTGTAGGAGGAGGACAACTGGACAGGAAGGCCTCCACCTCTGTTTAGTGGTGGACGGTTTTTCTTCACAAAGATGGCTTCCTTTAGTCCTCTCTCAAACCAACGTTCCTCTCTATCAAGGATGAGAACATCTTCATCCCTGAAAGAGTGACCG